AAATGTGTACTCGACATTAAGAGCAACCAAGACCAGTGTTGCCATTTTAGCCGTTTTCCGGCTAGATTTAGCCGGTTGCGATAGCAAACAGCCGGAAAAATTTCGATTTAGCCGAAAGCCGATTTGTTAGCCGTTTTGCAGAAAAAAATTAGCCGTTTTTAGCCGATTTTGCTATTTGCCTTGTTTTCTTAAATTTCAAATATGTATATATGTTTCCATTTTTGACCAAGCGACCCAAAATCTGTTAGAAATGGCTACTAGCCTTATCCTGGAGAAAATTTTCATGTCAGGCAGGGTTGTATGAAATTGGGCCGATTTCGCTTATTTTTNAATTTTAGCCGTTTTTAGCCGGTTTTATTTGCAATTTAGCCGGTTCGTCCAAAAAGTTCTGGAAACACTGACCAAGACGCTTGTAAACAAATTCAAGGAAAAAATAACATTCGCTTGAAATTTAAGCGTTAGTTGATCGCGGATCGTGGCATTGTGCGCTCGCTCAAATTGGAATAAAATAAAGAGTTGGTGGAGAAAAAAGCAGATAAACAAAAGTGAATTTATCTTTACGAAAGTTTTAGCACTTTAAAGAAATGGAGAAAAAACAAAAAAATAAAACTTCAAATGAAGATACAGTCGAAAAGGTATGTGAGTTTTTCTGGTGCAGATCAAATTTTTGGTTTAATGTGCATATGGGATTATACTGTCTTCTTGTAGGCGGGTAGGTTATTTCGCCTCACAAGATGTTATTAGAATAGATAAGAGTTTAAAAGGATACTATTCAATTTTGGTGCGGTGAAATCAGTCAGCCGCGTACTGGTAAAGATACTTCTTTGAATTCGATGTTTTCTGATAAAAGTGCATAAAGTTGTCAGCTGATTAAGTTAAGTGACGTTTTGACCAGTTTTGGGTATATTTCTTTTGTTTATTCGTTGTTTAATGTTTTCAATAAAAAATTCTAGCGCGTTATATAACAAGCACTGTATAAATCCACACTTCAAACTTTATACAAAAATTATAAAAATTCAACAAATTTTACCAAAATCCCCGAAAAAATTTCAAACTTTTTATTCACAAGCTTTAAGTATGCAGTTTTATAGCCCATTAAATTTTAGAAGGATAAAGTGCAAGTTTCAAGATGCTAGAAAATCGCATTGATATTTAAACGACTTCCAAAAAAGGAGGAGGTTATCAGTTCGTCGGAATAATTTTTTTTTTTTTTTTGTAATGTATGTTACCACATAACTTTGGACCACGTCAACCGATTTCGATGATTCTTTTTGCATCGAAAAGGTGGTGTCTCAGAGGTAGTCCCATACTAATCCGGTTTAGATCCGATCATTGGATCATGAGATATATATATATATATTTTTTTATATGAGAATTGAAGTCGTTTTTTTTTGCTAATTATTACTTGTTAATAATTTGTTTAGCTGACGCGGCATTTTCTTCCATATAAAAAGAAATTTTTAGCATCAACACCGTCAGCTAAAAAAATTTTTAAAAATCAACGCGATGTTCTAGCGTCCAAAATTTAATGGGCTATAAATCTGCACACCTAAAATTTGTCCAAAATTTTTTAATAAAAATTTGAAATGTTTGGAGGTTTTGGTAAAATTTTTTGAATTTTTTAAATTTTTTTACAAAGTTTGAAATGTAGATTTATATGGTGCTTGTTATATAATGCGCTAGCCTTTTATAAAAAAATATTATATCGAATAAACAAGCGAGATATAGCCAAAACTGGTCAAAATAAAAAGTTTCTATTATTTCTTCCACCACTGTAGGCCATTTGCGACTATTTTGCCCTCCCGCCTAATATATGTACATCAGGGGTGTCCAAAATATTTTCCAAGCCACCCCGAGAACTGAAGAATATGAAAATATGGAGTCGCTTTATTTTTTTTTTTTTGAAATTGATTAACATTTAGTGGCGCCGCTGGAGCTTTGAAGTTGTCAATGAATTTTACATGTAGAAAATGAATTTTTCGTAGTAGCATATTTTTTAAAATTTTCTCTTTCCGGTGCGTAATGCGATTACGGTCACATAAAATAATAATTATTTTGTATACACATATGTAAGAGAAAATATTATAGGTTATAAATAGGTATTTGTTTATTTTTTACATAAAAAAGCATATACTAAATTTAAAATAATTTGATAATTTGCGCTAACTAGCGGATAAATTTACCTTTTATATTGCATTGTCATCGGCTACTGAGAGCTAAGTTTAAAGTTTCAAGTCTCTGGCCAATCGGAAAGTTGGTTAAAAATTGATTCCAAAATTTGATTACACAGAGGTGAAACATAATATAAGCTTTTAAAAAATGCTATAAATCTGGGGGGTGGTTGAAGTAAAACTCTAAACGTCGATTTTTTTTGTATATTTTTGGACCAACGTAATGTTCATACATCCATTCGTACTTGTTATTCTATTTATGTGATGAGGAAATTTTTTTCAAAACAATTGAGGGATTCGCAGCGGTGTCGTAAGTGTCGTATTTTTGTTTGTCGTAAACTTTAAAAGCTTAAACAAATGCTTAGAGAACTTGAAATCACAACCAACTATTTTTTACCCCACCGAAAATGCCCCTGAACCCCCTTAATATATTTTTTAGGCGTTTATAGTTTACGACATACAACAATACAACACTAACGACACCGTTGTGAATACCCCAAATATTTAAGAAACTATTTTGATTCATAAAAAACTCCATTCTGTACCTACATATTTTCAAATCGGTCCAGCTCACGCAAATCTTAATATTTTTCCGAAATATTTTTGTGGAATAATAGATAATAGATTTTATAATTCCAATGGGTACACATTACCGATTTTTGTTCTATGGGGAGTGATGCAGTCTAGTGTACATACATAGTCAGAAAATCGTAAATTACGTACTTACATACATACATATGTATGTATGTATGTATTATGGGGGAATCACCGCTTTAGATTTTCCTGCAGAGCAACCTGATACGACGACTTATGTATGTATGTATATACGATGTTAAATAAAGTAGGAAAAAATTAAGATAAACAAAAGGAATGCAAATGTCGAGCTGCAATACGAATAATTTTCGTGTCATTAACTGGTATGTATGTATACAAAAAAATATTTATATAGCTACATATGCACTCTAAACCGAGTACTTAATGACTCAGCCACATTGAATTCGCAGCTGTGTTGACTACTGTTACATTTTCCAAACTATTAGTGCGTTCGAATAGATTCCCAGTGAAAAAAATGCAACAGCAACTTGCAAGAGAGTCACGAACGAGTACCTTTCAAATTGGAAAATATCGAAAAAAGTACGCGAACGCAAAAGTTGCGTTGTATTTGACAGTCTTACCAGTATTTACCCGTAAAGCGACTAGAACCATACTAATCGTGCGTGTAGACTAAGTGTAAACACCACTCTAGCACCATAGAGATACTTTTGTTTGTCGATTGCACCGGCACAAAAAAAAGTGTTGTGTGTTTTTAACCGACCATATTTCAGCCCGCTCAATCCGAATCTGAGGTCCCCCCGACTCCGATTCGGATGCCGAAAAATGGGCAAAAAATTCTTAATTTTCGCAAAATTCTTAATTTTTACCTATCTCGGCAGCCAGTTTGAAAACGCCCTATCTCAGAAAACTTTTCAAATGCACCCTAATGTACACATACATATTAAAAGTTCTCGCTATCGGATTAAGTTTAAACAGCGACCGTAGTCTATATATGTAAAATAATTTAGATGGGCATCTAATAATTATTTTATGATTTTTTGTTTGGATAAGTTTCCGAGATATCTTCAATTTACCATTATTCAGCTTAAAAAAGTGGTTCCACTTAATCACGTATATCTTAAGAACTAATTAAACTGAAAAAATAAAAAATAAGGAATGAATAGTCAAGTGAAAATGCGCAAAGATTTTGTATATGAAAGATGATAAGAAAAGAGCGTTTCTCAGGTGTACATGGCGTATGAGTAACATTTTTCATACAAAAAATATTTGCGCATTTTCATTTAACCACTCATTCCTTCTTTATATATCATCGATTTTCTTCATTAGTGCCTTGTTTTTTTTATAATATTTTTTTTACCTGTTAAAGTTTGATTTTTTTTATTAAAAAAAAAATTTTTACTGATTTAAAAATTTCTCAGAAATCAGGCCCATCGAAAGGTGATGTATATAGGGTTTATGAAGAATTTCGTTAGCTTTCATTTTCCGTACGGGCTTTTAATTGGTACGTAAGATACTCGTGATTAAATGCAACCAATTTTTAAGCAGAATAACGGTAAATTAAAAATATCTACATAGGAATTGGATAGTCTTTTCACAAAATTGTTGGCTGCTCCATTTTTTGTTCGATTTTGCCCAGAAATAATATTGGAATAAATAGAGTAGGCATTACTGTAACGCTGGTATGCCGAAATTGCCAAAATTACAACAACCACTCTCTAAGTGACAAAACGTTGAAATTTTGATGAAAATTTGTAGCTTTCCTAACTTTTGTGTAAAGTTTTAAACGGTATTTTTATAGAAAAAGTTCCAAAAAAAATTTAGCTCAAAAAACATTACGAATATTTTAAAAAGAATCATCATGTTGAATCAGCTGGATAAAATTTAAAATTTATTTTAATTTTTTTCTTTTTCAGAACAAAGTTAAACCTATAGAAGTTGCTCCAACAACCAGCGGCGCAAAAACATTTGCAGATATTTGCTGGAGTTTTAAAAATAAAATTAATCTCGAAGAAAATGCTGGGGACGAACCAAAACCTATTGCACGACAGATAAGATATAATCTACCCGAATATTATATTTTTGAGCAACCGAATTTTGGGTAATTATTGAAATATTATTTTTGAATATTTATGTGTGTATGTATGTATAACATATGTACATAATTAAAGTATTTTTTCGAAAATTTTCTTATAATCAAATATTTATTTGTTTTTTTTTTGTTTTTTTACCATTTATTGCAGGCTTTTCAAGTTGGTCACAGAGCTAGGACACTATTATCCGACTGAAGAAATGAAGATTGCACAAGAAAATCAGTTTAATTGTGAATTTTTATCGCAAGGTGACCAGATGATACAGTAAGTTCAAACGAAAAACATATATGCATATGTATGTAATATTTGAACTCGGACAATAACTACGCCAACTTCCTGTATACGGCAATACTGGGAAATGCATGATAGAACTTACAGTAAAAAGAATACCTTTGTTGGGTACTTTAGGTTCGATTTTGTAAGAATTTGCACTTCTTAACCTGTTTTAAGATATATATTTTTTTAAACTGTTTTTTGGATTATGGGAACAAATTAACATAATCTAATTTCTACAAAAGAAGTGTGCCTTTTCATTGCCCTCTGCTTAGTATTTGAGCGAAGAGGGTAATGAAAAAGCCGACTTTTCCGTAGAAACGAAAACGTCATAAAAAAGGATTTTGCATGAAAATGCCATTTATTTCAAAGATTTTTATTAAAGAAGTTTTTTTTTATTTTTCAGGGACTATCTGGACTTTACTAAACTGGAATCAACTAATATTTTCAAGATTTTCAAAATGTTAATACAAATAGAAGACCTACACACAATGCTACCGTATTGTCGTGTGTATCTGGAAAACGTGGTAGTAACTTCGTGTGGCGGGTACTTAAAATTCGACGTAAGTAGAAATTTAGCTGCATATGTATAAACCAGATTTACATATATATATGTATATATGTATATTAGTCATATAACTTTTTTCTAAAATTAAATATACAAAAATAGCGTTTTTGTCGAAATTTGGTAAGCAAATTTTAAAAAAAGAATTCCGAGAAAATTTTGTGCTGACCAAACACATGCATTGTACTTACTTATGTATATGCAATCAAAAACTAGTTTCTATTTTGATTTTTTCATTCCGTTGACCTGGAATTTTCCATATACATATGTACATATTTTTTTAGATTTTCATATGTGGTACTGAAAAAGCATATATCGACCCTAAATCGCTAAAAATATGTACGTAAGGGACATTTTTTTCGAAATTCTCTCGGAACATTTTTGCATCAAAAGGGATATGACAAGACATCGGAATAAAAAAAAAATAATAATTTTTATATGCAGTTTTTAATTTTTTTATCGCAGTCATAATTCGTATAACATGGAATTTTCCCATGGTGAAGTAATAAGAGCGAGAATAAAGATTTGACACAATCATATTTGAAAATTTGCGTTTAAAAATTTCGATAAAATAGCCGAACGTAAACAAAATAGGAAAAATAAAGCGAGAAAGCTGTTTTATTACTGCACCCGTCTCTAATTTCACCATGTTACATATATATACATATCTGTGGAAATTTCACAAAACAACTTAAGTCTATCTTTCACGGACAAACTAAATAGCTTATGTCGGCAAAGCTCTTTTTACCATCAGAGCAATAAAAATTTTATTTGAAAGAAAGCATTCATTTGTTGAAAACAGAGACATTTAAAAGGTTGTGAATAGCTATACAAAATTTTAATATTTCTTTCGAATTATAAATTTTTTCTCTTTGACGGAAAAATATGTTTTGTCGACATATGCTATTTAGTTTGTCCGTGAAAGATATACTTAAGTTGTTTTGTCAAATTTCCACAGATATGTACCTACACTGCCGGCAAAAAGTATTGGCACAGCAAATTTTTCACAATATATGCAAAATTTTTTTATCTACTATTTTTTCGCCAATTTTTTATAAAAATATGGTTCAATCTACAACAAAAAACATAAAAATATAATTCTTAAACTTTGGGCAAAACTCGCGAAAATTCAGCAAGTTTTCACCTTTTTAATCCGGTTTTTTAAATTTTTTTGAGTATACAGTTTTGCAGCCCATTAAATTCTAGTAAAAAAATAATTTTTGAGAATTTTTTTGTCGAAGATGTTTTGCATTTTTTCTATATAAGGTATTTTCAATAAAATTTGTTTGTATGGAAGAAACTGCGTGAAAAAATTTGCCAAAAATCAGCGGTAACTCCTAGCTACTTAAAACTTGTGCTTTATTAGAATGAAATTGATTGAGCTGCAAATCTGCATACTCGAAATTTGAATGAAAGTTTACTGAATTTTGGGAAGTTTTGCACAAAGGTTAGGAATACATATATTTTTATGTTTTTTGTTCTAGAATGAACCATATTTTTATAAAAAATTGGCGAAAAAAGATTAGAAAAAAAAATTTTTCCATATATTGTGAAAAATTTGCTGTGCCCATACTTTTTGCCGGTAGTATATGTATGATGTTGTTTTTTTTTCAGAAAACATTTTTTTCTCGCGCTTCCCTACGTGAACTGTTTTTCTTTTACCAAATTTTGACGAAAACGTTATTTGTTTTGGTTTTTCATCATTCTGCATCCTGTCATAGGTATATTTTATTTAACCTTCCGTTACTAACATGCAGTTTCATAGACCGAACATATTCTTAAAGCTTTATGTACAACAGAGTTGAGCTTTTTGAACTTTTTTCTTTGTATACCTCTCGGTTGATCAGTGATCTTGTTGATGGCTGTGTAGACTGATCGCTGCTATCTTGCGTTTTATTCCCATTTTCAATGATTCGGTCTGTGAGACCGATATTAGTATATGTTTTGAGTGCGGCAGCTTCCTGTGCTTAGAGCAAAGTTGTATATTTCAAGCCGAGAATGAAGACTTATTACCAGTAATATAATGTAATGTAATGTAACATAAATATTTCTAAAATATATGTATTTTTTTATTACTTTCCGATTTTTGTCTTTTTTAGTGCCTTTTTGCGATTTCTGATACCTTTTCCTGCCTATTTCGCTATTTTATTTTGCCTTTTCCAGCCGATAGGTCCTAAAAATCCGTTCCCTGCTTATTACTCATATAAATATATTTCTTATTTACTAGTATCATATCAATACAAAATATTTAAACTGAAAATTTAATTTATTGACTTATTTAAAAATTAATAACTTTACCCGAATTTTTGTTAACGTGTTATTTTACTATGTATTATTTAATGAAATTTTGTTATTTGGTTTTGTGATGTTTTTTGATTTTAGTATTGATTACAACAACTACTAATAAGAATTAAATATACAATGCAATATTTTAATGTGAAGAAATTAACCATTCTCTGAACTTCGGTCTGAGGGACCGATGTTAGTAGCCGTGTTGTAAAATTCATGTTAGTAACGCAAGGTTAAGAAAAGTCATATGCCTAATTTACATACCTACATATGTATGTTTTTATATTTCGATTTGCCCTTTAATGTTTAGATTAATGTACCAACAAATGTCAATATCGATGAAATACTCAATCCCATAATGGATGAGGTAGTATTTGTGCCACTTATGAGTCGAGCAATAGCACAAAATCAACTCAATTATCCAGTTGATCTACTCATACATCATCCACATGAATCGCTGACCACTGATGTAGAACTTTTTCGAGAAGTAGGCTTACTGGATAAACTCGAGGGACAAACGGCGTTTGTGGAAAGCTCAAATCCACGTTTCAATATAACTAAAAGCTATGACATCATATTTCGATCGAGGCGGGTACACTTTCGTTATATGCATCGTGCGTTGGAACTCTTAGATCAAGTACGTTGCGAGTATCTTTTTCCTCAAAGGAACCCTTATCGCCAGGAAGCGCCGAAGACAGTGAAGTACGATTTTTTTTTTTTTATTTACTACACACAAATTTTTATGTATTTCTTATCTCTTCATATAGGTTATCACTGATTAATAAACAAATTAGTGAAAATCCAGAACAATTGCAAGCTGTTGCACAAATTGCTGGCGGTGCAAACCCTTATGCGCCATATATAGTTGTCGGACCGCCAGGTGGAAAGCGTTTTGCTCTTAAATTTTAAATCTCACAACATTTAACTTTCCTATTTTTCTTCATACGTATTCCTCAGGTACCGGCAAAACGACCACAATCGTAGAAGCCATACTCCAGCTATACATTTCTCGTCCGAATTGCCGTATCTTAATTACAGCAAGCACGAATTCCGCATGCGATACAATTGCATTGAAGTTATGTGAACATTTTGAAAAAAATCCTCGACTTAGAAAACTCACACTACAACGTAGTGGTACGAATTTTATGGGACGCCCCAAACCACCGACGGCCATTTTGCGTGTCTTCTCGAAATCACTATTTAAGAAGGGCTTCAAAAATATAAATCGCACACTTTTGGAACATTCGAATTTTTGCAAACGTTCTTATAATTCACCATCTGTTGAAGTATTACAAAAATACAATATAATTGTGGTGACCCTCTGTACTATGGGCCGATTGTGTACCGGCACCATTGGCAATTGGCCATTTACTCATCTATTCATAGATGAGGCGGGCGCCACAGCGGAACCAGAAGCTTTGGTGGCCATAACGAGTGTCAATACGAAAAATTGTCGTGTAATATTGTCGGGCGATACAAAGCAATTGGGGCCGGTGGTTATGTCGCCGGTAGCCGCAGAGCTTGGTCTAAAATACTCGCTAATGGAGCGTTTGCTTAATCGCGATTGTTATGCAATTCATGTTGATGGTAGCTATGATCATACTTTGCAGACACGTTTGCGTCGCAATTACCGTTCACATCCGGCAATTGTAAAATTATATAATCATCTATATTATAGTGATGAACTTTTGGCAAAAGTAAGCTTAGGTAAGTACGTAGTTAAATTGATTCCATTGGTAATTAAAACAGGGACCGTCATAATTTAACAGTTGAAATTGGATTTATGTATATTTTTCTTAAACTCAAACTTAGTTGTTTTTTTTTAATGATTTTTAATCTTTCGATCATCCCATAACCGTTATTTTCAATTTAATTTTTTCGATCAAAAACGACTTAAAACGGTCATAAAAGTGCAGCCCTTATTGTAGCGGTTAAAAATAATCGAAAAAATAAAAATCCAAAAATAACGTTTTTTTTTAATAAAAATTTAAAAATAACGATTTTTCAATAATCTTAAAATAAAAATTTGGTATTTAATGGTTAATTTCGAACTCTGAACTAAAATAAAATAGGTGTTAAAAGCAAAAGAGTAGTTTCCTTAAACTGCGAAAAGTCTCGACACCCTTGTAAATCTCCAAAATTATATTTAGCGGCCAAAATTTATAGAACGTAATTTTCGAGTTTCAAGTTTTTCTAATCTAAATAAGCACACAAAAAAAATTTCGTCTCTGGTTACTTTTCATACTCATTTTCTTTGCAGAAAATTTAATTAAATGGAAAGATTTGTCGATTTTGGATAATGAAAAATTCCCTATAATTTTTCAAGCTGTTCATGGAAAACTTGGCAAATCTATAACATCGTGTAGTTCTTTCAATAAATTAGAGGTGGATGTAATCATTTGGACTATAAAGCAATTGCGTGCAAACGCAGTAGCCAATTGTGCTCGTTTCGGTCCTGGAGATATTGGTGTTATATCACCATATAAACTGCAATGTGCTCTTATCAAAAAGCAATTGCATGAGCAAAATATATCCGGCGTAGAAGTGGGCACAGTTGAAATTTTCCAAGGCCGCGAAAAGCCCATAATCATAGCATCGTTTGTAAAATCCTTCTGTAATTTAGGGTTTACCGCCGATCCGCAGGTAAGTGTAGGAAAATTAATTTCGTTCAAAAATATTTTTAATTGAAAAATTGTTGGTACCAAGGCATATCAAGGTGTTGTCAGTAACTTAACCTCACTTTTTCGGCAGGTCTATTCCGGTCACGCATTTTAAAGTACTAGAAAAGGTACTAATTATTTACTACTTTTAATCCGTTGGTGCATACTATTTCAAATTAAATGTATAAAAATGTATAATTACAGGCTTATAAGCCTGCATATATGTTTGTATCTGCAGCTCCACACAGCTTGGACATATATTGTAATTTTAATGCAATAAACTATTGCAATAGCATTCGTTTAAACATTTTAATGTTAATACAAAAAAAAAATCATTAGCATTATTTCTTCGGAATTAATGCATTGAAATGTTCATCTACATTAAATATCAAAAATTAATGCATTAATCTTTTTCATTTACATTAAAATGCTATGCATTAAAAAATTTAATGCATTTTTCACAACTGCCATGCAGCCACTCTATTCTAGTGTGTCAGTAGTTCATTTGGCTCAATATTATGACAATGCAGCTAAGTTATTTAATATAAAAAATCGCCTTTCCATACGATTTTTGTGTACGTTTTTTTCCATTGATAACTACGATATCTTTTATTTTTTTACTTATTTGAGGACAAAAATTATACAAATCCAGCAATTTTAAATATTAATATTGTTCTGAAAGCACCAAGTTCTTTAAAAATCGCGATAAAACGAATTACAAAAATTTAGTTCAGATACTATTTCCCAACGAATAGTAGTATAAAAATTAACATCGGCAGCACTGAAAATAAGCATGCCGATCTTGTCAAAATCACAACAAACACGTCGCTACTGACAACACCTTGTTTTTATTTCACCATGGTACCAAGGCACATTGAACAGGCAGTATCAGTAAAGCACGTGTTTTAATTTTCTTTTTTCAAATTATTTAGTCTCGAAAATGTCAAATATTTCAAATTTTTTACCACAAAAATTCTTAATTGTTAACATCTATGTATTTGCATGTGAAACCTTTTTCCATACAAAACAATCGATTCAATAGCAGATTTTGGAACGTTCGCCGAACTTAGCAGCCTTGCAAGGGATGGATCCATGCTTCAAGAAGCAAACAATTTTACTAAGAAAGGGAGTTGCAACCAAGGCAAATTTATATAAGGTGGTGTTACTAGCTCAGCTGATTTTGTGTATGTGTTTCGCCGCACGGCTTCTGATATCAAATTGAAAAATTTTGTTTGAATTTCTACACACACTCTTACAGATTTTGACAGTTTATGCCGCCAAAGCAAAAACAAAATACATGTAAATTTTTGTTTTTGTACTCCTGCTATCACCTTATATTAATTCGCCTTGGTTGCAACAATTTTTATTTTTTCCAATTTAATTTTTTTTATTTTTTCGTATTGCACATGGCACGATTTGACTTAGTAGAAAAAAATCAAAACAGTTTTTGACACTTTCGATACCAGAAGTAACAACAAAATACATGCAAATGTTGTTTTTGCTTTAATACTACTACCTGTTTGATATGGCTTGGTTGGTACTAAGTAGGGCTGATGATACCCTGGCACCCGGCTACCCGTCTGAATTGACTAAGACATATACATAGGTGCCGGGTAAACGGGTAAGGTAATGTAACTTCACGGCTAAGGTGCCCCAAAGTTTCCAAAGCTTTGCTTCATGCTTTTGTTATTTTTCTTTTAATATACATACATATATTTTTTTAATAATTTTTAACCCTGTGAGTTCCAAATACGTATGTACTTATCTTCATTAATTTATTTATTTCAATTATTTTTAATAATTGCCTATTAGTCTTTTTCCTTAATATTGAATTTTATTTCATTTCATTTTAATAAAGCGTTTAAATGTTGTCCTCTCACGTGCTCAATCGCTGCTCATACTCATTGGTAATCCTCAAACTTTACAACAGAATAGCGATTTTGAATATTTGATTCAAGAGTGTTCAAGTATAGGCAATTTTAGACAAAAAGGTAAAATTATTTTTTATTTAAGAGAACAAAAAATACAATNGTTCATTAATTTATTTATTTCAATTATTTTTAATAATTGCCTATTAGTCTTCCTTCTTTTTCCTTAATATTGAATTTTATTTCATTTCATTTTTATAAAGCGTTTAAATGTTGTCCTCTCACGTGCTCAATCGCTTCTCATACTCATTGGTAACCCTCAAACTTTACAACAGAATAGCGATTTTGAATATTTAATTCAAGAGTGTTCAAGTATAGGCAATTTTAGACAAAAAGGTAAAATTATTTTTTATTTAAGAGAACAAAAAATACAATATGTAATTAAAACTTTGTTTATTTCAGTCATGACCCTAAATAATAAGCCAGTGATTTCAACACCGAATCCAACCATCACAGACAAATGAACATCAATTTTAACAGTATTTTTTCTAAATTTTTTCACATTCTGCATTTTTTACTGCTTTATTTTTATCATAAATTCATATCTTATTATTTGTTTATTTAAAAAAAAAAGTTAATAAAATAAGCTAAATGCATATGCAAATATATATATTTTGAAATATTATACATGTAGGTAATTATTTAACTATATTTCGTTACACTTAGATTTTTAACTGCTGGAATGACGCCTTTTGATTGCCCCTTTCTCTTTTCGTGTTCGATTCTATGTACATCAGGGTTACCACTGTAAACTTTCTTTCCTACCAAAAGCTGGTTTAAAACCCTTCCAAAATGGCTTCTTTCCTTCCATTTCTTTTAATCAAGAAAACGGTGATTAACAGCATTAAATACATTTATTTTTTTTGGTTTTTATACTTATAATAAGATTTCTAGGTAAACAAAGAGAACACAAAATAGCTATTATATATATATAGCACACAAAAAAATTGGTGTATACCGACATATATTTCGACCTGCTGAATCCTTATACGGAGTTCAGAGAATTGCCAAAGGTAATTGGTGAAATTCTGCCTTTAAACGAGTTTTTTAAAAGGTATTTGATATAATGGCCAACAGTTGGACCCATCCAAGAAACAGAATGAGGGTAAAACTGATATTGTCCCAATTGGGCAAGTCTACTCACAGTGCTGACAGACACACTACAACAAACCAGAGATGTTTTCTGTTTTTTGAACAAAGAAACCTACCAAAATTTTAAGCATCGAGAAAAAAAACCTACCAATTTTGGTAGGAAAAGCCCAAAACGGCAACCGTGTTCTGCTTGGAAAAGGGTGAGAAAATTTTGTGTTCGTTTCTTAAAATGTCACAAGGCGAAAAAGGCACATTCTCTGCCCTGTGAAGCTTTGTGAGGGTAGATCCTTGCCCTGAAATTCTGTCAAATTCTCTCTCAAGTAAAGAAACTTGCAAATTTCTGCACGAACGCACCCAATAAACACCAAAAAAAAAATATTTCTCCAACCTTGGAGAAATTCATAGTTCTCAAGTTGATATCCAACATCATTCTCCAACTCATCTCTAACCGACGCGCAGATAAGTAAAAAGTGATATAGAAACGAATTTTTAATTATCAAGTGAAAAACTAAAGCTATATAAAGAGGAAAATAACCAACAAAAAGTAAAAAATCTTCAAAATATCCTGAAGGAAAATAAGTGAAGCGAAGTGAATCAAGTGGCAAAATTACTGTCGGACTATATATTGCGAAGTGAATTATTGTAATACGATATTGATTAACTACATAATACAAAAGGAGTAATAAAATAAAAAACGTAATATTTAAATTCAGCTATGTATGTCGTTTCAATCAACAAAAAGTACGGGAACAAAAGAAGCATTTTTCCTGTAAAAAAACGTCAAACAGTGACACTTTTCATGATTTTAACAGAAGAAATAGTTCGTGTAAAATCTTGCAACTTCATTCTCTACACAACTCTCCAAAAATCGCTCTCATTTACAGGATTTTGGAGGAATATGGACTACGGGATCATATTTCCTTCAACTTCATGTAAGTTCGTGTAAAAACCTGTAAGTTCATGGAGTACTGGATCAGAGCTATTATCAACGCTTTTGGCTTTCCTTTTCGACCGTGGCCGCCTCAGAGTGAATACACCGTCTGAGCTTATCGGAGCTCGAATTACCGCCCGGTGCGGTATAGTTTGTAGCCAAATAAAATTTAGTCAAAACTTGTAAAATGAAATTGCAGATTTTTAATTTTAAAATATTGCCAAATACAACTAAAATTTTCTGGAGCTAAAAAACCGCTAGATAATTTTGAAAAGAGCTAAAAAAAAGAGCTAGGAGCAAAGCCCAATCTTCGGAGCTAAATAGAAAAATAAAGAACTAAATCTAGCTCCAAAAGGAGCCAAATGGCAACACTGAGTATGATAGAATACATCGTGATGAACATGCAAATATTCATATCTATGCAAGTATATACACATGTTCATACGAGTGTTTTTAAAGCGCAGCGCGTTTTGTGAAACGAGTAGCTGTCGTAGCACAGACAGTGTTGGCACTCGCGATACAAATTTATGGTAGATCAAAGGCTTATAAAACAAGTAAAAGTACTAAGGCGAAAACGACATTTACGTGCTCACGTTTGCCTTTTTTTGATGACAAGGACCAGCCCCAAAAACCCCCGGGGTCTGCTTGATGATTACATCAGCAATATTGATATATATGTATACATATATATTTAACTTTCCGAGTTTCCTATCTCACATCGCCGCTGAAATACAAAAGCCGTAACTAAGTACAAATTCCAAATTCTCTTTTTGATTGATTATGATGCATTTCATCGAATTATAAGTCCCCACATCATTTTAAGCAATTAAAAATTGTTTGTCAGTTACGCCTTTTTGCATTTTGGCGACTATATGAGTTGGGGCCTTTCTATTACTACGGGTATACGCACGTATTATTTGCAAATAATAATTTGCAAAATGGTAAACTTTGCCGTATAAACGCTGAGTTAATTTTGTATTTGCAAATAACTAAATTACGCAAATGAGTATTGATTAGTGATACTATTTGCAAATAAGCGCAAGCCATTCTTAAGTTTATTTTCTGTCTCGATGGTCATCTTATTGCCTTTTTATANTACGCAAATGAGTATTGATTAGTGATACTATTTGCAAATAAGCGCAAGCCATTCTTAAGTTTATTTTCTGTCTCGATGGTCATCTTATTGCCTTTTTATAATCAAGACGTTGCCATTTTTGGCAATATTAAAAAAGAATTTTTCACCATCGAATAAACAGTGAGTTAGGTATTTGCAAATTGTTTTTATTTGCAAATAGCTTACGTATAAACGTAGTATATATTAAGGTAACGATATGTACATATGTGACATTTTTAAGGCTATAAATTGCTTATTTTTAGACTTAATAAACGTTAACAGGTGGGGACGAGGGTGCGGGTAAGAATTTTTCTTAATTTTGCTGGGTTTAAAATTATTAAAACTCTGCGTACGTAAAACTTGAATGGCTTCTTTCTTTATTTTGCTTGCTTCCAGGAGCATCGATCCACTATTTCCACAGTTTTTGTGCTCCTGAGTTAAGCGAACGTTCCAAAGGCTGGCTTTCTATCGCTTTATTTTATGGAAAAAGGTTAACGGCGCGTTTACATTGGACAATGCTGTCAAGATCATAAAGATATACGTATTACTTGTCAAAATTGTTCCAATGGAAAAGATGCATGTATTAGTGAAAAAGTGTTCATGTATTGTCATGACAGTATTGTCCGGTGTAAACCCTAAGTAAACATGCAAAACAAAAGTCTTCTAGAGAACAAAAGTTTTGAGAACTTAACGTGAAGAATGAGAGGGGCGTCTGCGTGTTGGGATGAAAAATCGTTTCAGTGAGAATCATGATTGTTTATTCTAAGCCAAAGTAGAGCTGTAAAACTATCGATAGTCATCCCATTCGATGTTTTCTATAGTTTGGATTTAAACTATCGTTACTATTGGTAGTATCGGATAATTTTAAAAATCATTCACAAAGCTATTTATATAAACTTTAGTTTTGTTTAGTGGCTGAATAATTAGCTAATTATTATATAGCGATTTTTAGTAACTTCGTCCTTTCTCTTCGACTTTTAAAATATTTTGAACCGATAATATAAAAACCTAAAATTCCCAAACTGTGGCTGCGTTCATCGGCGTAGCCAGAATGAAATTTAGGGGGGGCGCTGGACCCTATTAAGCTGGCATTTCAGGGTACTATTTTATATATATATAAGGAAAATTTGAAAGTTAGGGGGGCTCGAGCACCCCCGCCCCTACCTGGCTACGCCCATGGCTGCGTTTCTTTATATATTCCAGATAATCCCAGCTAGAATAAACAGAATGCGTTTGAAATTTTCCGACGCGATTTGAAATTTGAAAAATTCCGACTTTACTTGTTTTGGGCCACCCTAATGTACATATTACTTGGGCGACCAACAAGCTTTTGAGGTGGTTCGCGTTTTTCGGGCTTTAATTGTTGTTGTTGCAACAGCATACAAATTCCCTAAAGAGCTATGAATTATACATATGTACAGTTATAAAAAAGTTTTATTTTCGCTTTTATTATTATACATTCAAGATTTTGCTTTGTTATTATTAGTATTTCAGCAACTGCACTCAATAAAATAGGCATTCCCTACAAAAAAAAAATAACATAGAACTTCCGCTATAAATTACAAGAAACCATTTTTTTATCTGAGTGCAATTTAAAATAATTTTCTTCTAGTATTTTGCCAACACTGGCGACGCTACTGCGCTGATCGTCGAGCCATCGGCGCAGTCAATAAATTTTCAGTGCAAAAGTGTGCGCTAACGGTAACGGTTCGTTTTGGCTTTGTGCTAGCCGCGTAATTAGCAACAATAACGTAAACAAAAGTGTAGTTTACACACAATCAACATTGAATTTAACACTTGTTGCATTCGATTGTGGTTAAACGAAGTACATAAAAACAAAATTGAATAGTTGATAATCTTTATTAAAAATTCGCTGGTAACATAATGCCGAAAAAGTCATGCAGATCCTCAATTGCATTCGGTAAGTACCTACATAATTAGCATAAAATTACAAACATGAGACTAAATTGTAATGCATTTTTTCCTGTGTTTAGAAAAAGAAGCAATCGGTCAATTTCTTTTATATCTGTATGGATGTCAACAAGTGAAGCCCACAACCGATTGGAGCATACCCAAGAAGGGAGTGCATGCAGAGTTTCGTAAATTCCTAAATTTGCCAAAGAATGCGAATTTGCGTAAACGAATGGGTGGAAAAATTAATGAGGTATAGTATATGTATGTATGTATATAAGTGCATACAATTTTTAATATTGGTTGTTATATGCCGCTCGCTTGCGGAAAGAATGAGATAAATTGAAACAAGTAACTTTTGTAGCAAAAAACAAAACCCACTTCTATTCTCATATAAAAATGTATGGCTCTATTATGAATGGCGACGGATAGCCAATGGGCAACCATATAATAAAATTCGCATTACGTATGGCAACTGGCTACTGACTGTCGGCTACTGAGTCTAGTAGCGCAATTTTCTGTTTCCCGCTTATGACGATTTTGTTATTTGTTTACATAAATTGTTAAATACATTGATTTGAACGAAATTAATATGGGACGACCTGTGAGGTAACACCTTTCCTTTAAAACAAGAAAATTATAGAAATCGGTTAACGTGGTCCAAAGTTATGTGGTAACATACATTAAAAAATAAAAAATCCGACGAATTGATAACCTTTCTCCTTTTTGTGAAGTCGGTTAAAAATTGGAAATACAAGACAGACAGTTGTAAATGCCAACATAAAAATAACTAAAAAGAATGATTGCGCTCTAGTTATAGTGGCTAAGCAAGGAAATTAGAATCGCAAGGAAGACAAATTCTCTTTTTGGGAATATGCCCTTCTGAAAGTGCTATGTAAGTCATATGTAGTCTAGTCCAGTACTCTAGATCTAGTTGTTGTTGTTGTTGTTGTTGTTGTTGTTGTTGTTGTTGTTGTTGTTGTACAAACATTTGAAATATTTGCAGTAGTATCTACATGGCCTAATCTGACTATTTCTGACTAAATCCTGGAGTACTGGAATAGACTAAATATTTTCACATCTTTACATACATATGAACATAATATGTATGCACGTACTTTCATGCATATACACACATACATACGATGTGTGCATGCACTTATCCATGTACTTATGTATGTGCATACATGCATATATACTATATCCATATGCATGTATGCATGTATGTGCATAGAAATATGCATTAACATATTGAGTGTTGACTTTTATTGCATTATAACCACCGGGAATGCAGGCGACCGAATGCAGCGAAAGAATGCACTGTTTGCAATAATCAACGGAACTGTGGTGATAAGCCAGTTACTTGCCCGTATTTATTGATATCGAAATTGTTGTTATTTTTCGCCGAATTTCTATAACTTGTAAGTTGTTTGTTTGAATGTGCTATCTCTTTGACCGATAGTGTCCAATGTTATAAAACGTGTACAAACATTTTTTGCAAGGGGCCCCCGCGCTACCGGAATAACCAGGGGGGGGTTTATATCCAGTTAAGGATTGCCGCCCAAAAAACGGTAGGTACGCAAAAAGTTTATGGTTGAGGTTTTTGTCTATTTAATACCGGGCTTAGTAATCTGGGACCGGAAACGCGCTACTTTTATTGCATTATAACCACCGGGAATGCAGGCGACCGAATGCAGCGAAAGAATGCACTGTTTGCAATAATCAACGGAACTGTGGTGATAAGCCAGTTACTTGCCCGTATTTATTGATATCGAAATTGTTGTTATTTTTCGCCGAATTTCTATAACTTGTAAGTTGTTTGTTTGAATGTGCTATCTCTTTGACCGATAGTGTCCAATGTTATAAAACGTGTACAAACATTTTTTGCAAGGGGCCCCCGCGCTACCGGAATAACCAGGGGGGGGTTTATATCCAGTTAAGGATTGCCGCCCAAAAAACGGTAGGTACGCAAAAAGTTTACGGTTGAGGTTTTTGTCTATTTAATACCGGGCTTAGTAATCTAGGACCGGAAACGCGCCCAAATATGCCGATGCACTTCCATGCATACATACAGAACTATTTGAGTAAAAATTGGTTTGGTACTTTACCTCGTATTTTCGGAGCTCATGAGTTCAACAATTATCACTTCGCTGTATTTGCACATTTGTTTATTCACTAGTAACACTTTTAAAGTTTTAAAACCACATTTCTCACTTGCACATTACCAAAACCAAATATTACGAGCACTCTTGCAAATGTAAAACTACCGCCAAATAAATTGTCAAACACAGAGTTAAGATAGAACAGGGTGTTTCAGTTTTCATAAAAAGCGGAGATTACAAATATAAATAAGTATTTTTATGCTCTCTCTATTTATGGTTTATCTCTATTTTTATTTAAACTTAATCGGAACCAATTATACGTATATATGACGATAGGCCAGGGTATTACTGAATGGGGTTTTTAATATTCCAAAGTTTTTTCACAATTATATAATCTGAGCTACCCTGCATCGTTAGTTGTCAATTAGCAAAATTAATTTGTGTTTAAATATGCGTGTATCCAAAACTATTTTCCACATTTGTGCTAAGATACTATTTTCTGCAGAAAGTGAATAGTACATTCTTAGGACGGGTATATAAATCGAAGTCCACTAACAAATACAGCAGTATGTGGTTTCCATAACAATAGGATCTACGTTAGCGGAACTACCCGGATGTGTATCCGGCCAAGAGCCGTCACTACGGTAATACTTGCTAGAAGTGTGTTTAAAGACTCAAATGTAGGAGGCTAAAATTTCTGTTTTTCTTTATGACAAACTTGTACGAGTAAAACTAATCAATCTGAGGAAGAAATGTAAAGTTATGGCGGTTTTCGAAATTGTTATAATTTCTGGTACTAACGTTGCAGTCATTGTGAGGTGTGGTTGTTGTTCTTTTTTAATAGCAATTTAAACAGCTGTAATGTACGGATGCCCTGCTTGCATTTAAAACACGAGAATCCAATAACCAAGATATCTTCATACATACATATGTACAAAAGTAGTAAGATAGGAAATAGCTAAGTGATAATATTGTTTGAAATTGACAAAGTTATTTTAAGGTACAAATGTGCTAATACATACATATGTACCCTGCAAACCAAAGTTCCCGAAATCTTAACGAAATCTTTAGGAGTATCTGATTTCTGTAACGATTTTTTTCCGAATCTTCAAAGAAAATTATATGAAGTGGTTGACACGAACTCGTAAAGAAATTTCTGTACGAAAAATAAAGAAAATTCTGAAAAAAGTCTGCAAGAAATTCTTCACATAGCAGCATTATTTTCATTTCTTCACCGATTTTCTTCCGAAATTTCGTAAAAGAATGGAAGTGTGCGTAATTTATTTCATTTTAGAAAATTCGGAAAAAAATCGGATGGGATCTTTCCGAATTCGTTAAAATTTCTTTACGATTCAGAATACTCTGAAAAAATGGTTTGCAGGGTATATATGGACACATGCACATATGTATGTATGTAGTATGTATATGATTTATTTATTGTATATAGTTTGTTATATTATTAGTTGATGTTGGCTTCGCTATCTCTGGAATTTGAAGTTGCATATATATACATATGTATGTAATTAGCTGCATATAGCAATATAAATATGATTCCTACATTCATGCATACATATGTATGTATGTATGTACATACATACATAGGTACAGTAGGGTTGACTTTTTTTATATTCAAAAGACTGTGGTGCCATGTAATGACCCATGGTCTAAAACACTGGAAAAGTTCCATAACTTTGTTCAGATATGTATGTATAAAAAGTCGCGCGCTTAAAAGTATTTCTCTTTTTGTAAAACCAAATAAAGTCGACCTTGTTCGATGTTATTCATTAACACTTAAGAGTACCAAGGAATAGAAGAAAGGAAAGTAACGTCACCAAATTTGCCATAAAGGTTTAAAGTCCGAACGTAGCTACGTAGGTCAATAATGGATGCCAGAATCCTAAATTGTACAGAATAGCCAGTACATTACACCAAACTAATTTCGGGTCACTGATTCCAAATATACCCTTATTTTTTTTTTACTTTGAGAAATAGTTTTTAAATTCAAATTTTGGACCCCCCTCCCCCTTTTTCCGTACCAATTGGAACGCATGGATTATCCAGAAAAAAACGGTGCGTTCTGGTTTAGGCGGACTGTAGCAAATCAAAATTTGTGCCAATAAAATGGGTGATTTTCTGAAAAAATTAATAATCTAGCTAAATTCTACACATCGTGCACTAACCGCAAAAAAGTGTAAGCGAAACTTTATTCAAAATTTAATTTTTGATGCAGAAATGCATCTACATAGTTCTAAATTCGACAGATAAGATCTACACCATTTCCACTTGGATTTTAGAAAGCGTCAATTCGATTTTAGAATAGCCAATTGAATTTTAGAATACGTTAATTAGATTTTCGAATTGTCAACTGGATATTAGAAAGCGTAAATTGAATTTTAGAATAGTCAACTGGATTTTAGAAAACGTCAATCTTCTAAAATCCAGTTCACTATTTGCCTATCGCATCGCATTTCTCTTTCGTATCGCATTACAGAGTAGCCCCCCTGATTACTGCAAATTTTATGTAGAAGATTGTAAAATTCAGTTTACATTTTCTAAAATCCAACTGAGGTTTTTAAAATCGAATTGACTATTCTAAAATCCAATTGATGTCTTCTTAAATCCAGTTGACTATTCTAAAATCCAATTTACGCTTTCTAGGAACACTTCTGCATCAAAAAGAAAATTGTGAAAAAAAATGTCGCTCACATCTTTTCGGCGGCTAGGTTTCGACTTACTTTTTCCGTATTTTCACGAAATATGTACATATGTGCGTCGAAACATTAGCCCTGAATTTCACTTTTTATCTGAAACGCATTCAAAAAGAATCGAGTCATATTTAGCATTGATATAGCAAAAACGTAGATGAACCCAGAAGATAATTTAGGTAGCCCTTCTTAAGTAAAGCTATTCTAAGAGGCCTACCCCAGAAGGGCTTAAAAAGTTCTTCCTTGCATGCCTCTAGAAGGGATTATGCATTTACAATTTACGCGAAGGTAAAATTTTTTATTATTTAGCATTACAAATGAATTTCAATTAACATTTTAAGTTGCAATAATACATATTTGATATGAACCTTAAGCAAATACATACTTCTAAGATATATGATTTTTAGAAATTAAAGAAGCAACTTTAAAAGAAATAATTTAAAAGGCCTTCGGAAATACGTTCTAATAAAGCCCTTCTGGAAGGCCTTCCATGGGCAGTGAAACCAGAAGAAGCCCTTCAATTCCTTCAATTTGTGCCACTCCATACAAAAAAGAAAGGATAAAGGAATGTAGAGTAGAAAGCCTCTTGACGCTCAGGAAGGCCTTTCGGAAGGGCTTTTAACTCTTGAAATTATCTACTGGGAAACCATACTTTGTCTCTGAAAATTTTGTACTGAAATAATTTTAATTTTTTTGGTTTCCATATGTCCTTCTGCTAAGAAGGTTTTTTAAGTCTGCACAAAATAAGGCTTTTTCCCGAAGCTATATGCCAAAGACCATCACAGGACAGGCTTTAACCAATTCAAAAAAGGTCAAAACAGTCTAACCCTAATGTATAGTAATGTTTTGCTGTAATTAGCAAATCCAAAATACAAATATTTTCATGAGTACATGCATAACTAAGGTACCTCGTGCTTATAATCGTTCAAAGCTCATCTTTATAATGCATATATAAATAAATAGGTAAATAAATACATATGTACATACATACATACGTAAATATTTTGCGGTCGAATTTCATATTACTCATAACCGTTTTATTCATGGAGTGAAAATGAAAGCAATTACAGAATTTATTTTTTTAGAGAAACAGAGAACACTTGATAATTTTTGGATTATACATATGTACCCTGCAAACCAAAGCCCCCAAATCTTAATGAAATCGTTAGGAGTATCACATTTCTGTAACGATTTTTTTCCGAATTTTCAAAGAAAATTATATGAAGTGGTTGACACGAACTCGTAAAGAAATTTCTATACGAAAAATAAAGAAAATTCTGGAAAAATTCTGAAAGATATTCTTCACATAGCAACATTATTTTCGTTGCTTCACAGATTTTCTTCCAAAATTTCGTAAAAGTATGGAAGTGTGCGTAATTTATTTCATTTTAGAAAATTCGGCAAAAAATCGAATTAAATCTTGACGAATTCTTTAAAATTTCTTTACAATGCAGAATGTACATCTACGTACCCTGCAAACCATTTTTTCAGAGTATTCTGAATCGTAAAGAAATTTTAAAGAATTCGAAAAGATCCCATCCGATTTTTTGCCGAATTTTCTAAAATGAAATAAATTACGCACACTTCCATTCTTTTGCGAAATTTCGGAAGAAAATCGGTAAAGGAATGAAAATAATCCCTGCAAACCATTTTTTCAGAGTATTCCGCATTGTAAAGAAATTTTAAAGAATTCGTTAAGATTTAATTCGATTTTTTGCCGAATTTTCTAAAATGAAATAAATTACGCACACTTCCATTCTTTTACGAAATTTCGGAAGAAAATCTGTGAAGCAACGAAAATATTGCTGGTATGTGAAGAATATCTTTCAGAATTTTTCCAGAATTTTCTTTATTTTTCGTACAGAAATTTCTTTACGAGTTCGTGTCAACCACTTCATATAATTTTCTTTGAAAATTCGTAAAAAAATCGTTACAGAAATCAGATACTCCTAACGATTTCCTTAAGATTTCGGGAACTTTGGTTTGCAGGGATGCTGCTATGTGAAGAATTTCTTGCAGACTTTTTTCAGAATTTTCTTTATTTTTCGTACAGAAATTTCTTTACGAGTTCGTGTCAACCGCTTCATATAATTTACTTTGAAGATTCGGAAAAAAATCGTTACAGAAATCAGATACTCCTAAAGATTTCGTTAAGATTTCGGGAACTTTGGTTTGCAGGGTAGTCTCTTAAGATCTGGCTTCTAAAAAAACATTCATATGTAAACAATGTAATACAATATGAAGAGCGCAGCTCGAAGTATACGAAGTTGAATTTTTACTTAATCTCTATACTTAAACATATAGAAGAAGTACATATGCATGTATAATTCTGAGGATTCAGCTAAAAAAATATAGATGAATTTAGGTATGTATGCTTACAGTACATACTTTAATGCATTTTTGGATTTTGTTTATTTACCCCATAAGCAAAATCTTGGCTAAAAAGGATCCGTTTGAAGTAATGGGATTGCAAGTTAGCTGACAGAGCGATACACAATTTACTCAATTTTAATTACTCATGCCCGGTTTCACCAATAAATTTTAAAACTTATCAGACTTACAGCCAATTTCACGAAAGCAATTTAAGTGAAAAATTATTCTAATTTTTTTTTTAATTTGATATGGAAATTGACATAAAATCAAAAAAAAAATCATTTTCCATTTAAATTGCTGGTGAAACCGGCTGTTAAAATTTAAAATGGCAATTTTCCGAACAAAATTGTTTCATTTAAATTTTAACAGGCTAACAAATTTAAAATTGATTGGTGGAACCGAGCATCAGTCAGTTAACTTTCAATCGTACATATTACTTCTAACGGATCCTTTCTACCAAATATTTTGCTAATAATGTTCTAATATTGGAAGATCTTTAATTTAGTCTTGAATTGATTACTGATCACGAAAATGCCTTTTCAGGTTTCTTTTTTTTTTNTATAGAGTAGAAAATATAGATAAGAAAAACAATTATACTTTAAGTAATAAAAATAAGAAAATCATAATACATAAAAATAGGCTTAAATTGTTAGAATACGAACATTTCAGTTTGTTAGCGTAAACACAAAACTTAGAATAAATTTTCCATTTAATCACTTCACAAAAATATACTGCACGAATAAATAAATAGCTTCAACAAGAATGTACGTTCATACCAAAATAAAAATCTTAACCGATTTTACATTTAATTATGTCATAAAAATATACCGCATGAATAAATAAACAAATAAATGAAAAAAAAGACGCACACAATAAATAAAAGAAACTCAAGTAATTTGTAGTTATGTCATAAATTTTAATTGAAATAGCCCACCAAACAATTTGTGTTGCCGGCAATAAGAAAACGTGTCGCCTTCGGAAACAAATTTATTGCCGGTAATATTGCCATCGAGTCGATTTCCTATTACCGGTCGCTCTAAAACGTCCGCCGAAGGCAACTCGCCTGGGCGAGTCGTTTTCTTATT